TGTATTGATTAGGGTCGGGAAAATAAGCAGCCATTTTTTTATCGGATCAGTCTAAAATGTAGCTCCACAGCCACTTTTCCAAATTCAAATTTGACATCTCAGTTTTGATCCATCTTTAACTATTCATCTGTAAAAGATTGTTCATAACCTTTCATGAAGGCCCTGCGTTCTTTGGAAATCTGAACCGTCTTTTAGATGTTCTGTAAACATTGAAATCTAGTCTTACTTGCGTGTTGACATCAGTTATGCGCAAAAATATATGTAAATTGATCTTTCATTTCCATTTAACTTAAAGGCTAAATGCATATACTTAAGTAAATGATTGACAGGTCAGTACTTAGAAAACAATTTTATTTCAACTCAGAGAGAAAGAGAGAGAAAGAGAAGAGAATAATGGCAAACATTTTAACCTCTCAGACTCCTTAAGTATAAAGCAATTCAGTTACAAACAAGTCATTGCAGTTACATAATAATGCATTGTAGTTACTGAACTATTTTCAAAATAAAAGACTAAATAATAAGTCTGTGCTTAACTGATTTTGAAAGAATTTGACAAAAATTTACAAAGTAGTTAAAAAAGCTCATTTTTTCAAACATTGAACAATTGCAGAAGAACTTTAAAGAATATGAGTAGAATTGTATTTTATAAAATGCCAGACTCAGATTATGGCATGATGTGAAATGATTTATTTTTACATAAGATAACAGTTGTAGGACTTTTTGTAGTTTGTTATATAGCCAATTGAGGTCGAACTTAATAGGCTATTAGAGATTTCCTTTGTGGACACAACATTCAATTTGTGTGATAATTGGTCAATTCTAAGCCCTCCAAATGCATGTTTAGTGGCCAAGGGTGGCCATATTTGTCCAATGATTGAGTTGTCTTTAACAACGTCTTTATACAGTGGACCAATGATGCAGCAGGCAAAGTTTCGGCTCAATTGGCCAAGCAGTTGCCAAGAAACAGATTTTTGGTTGTTATTGCACCCCTATTGAGTAATCATTATCAAACTTGGTGGGCTTCCACAGAATCATGTGGGGTAAATGGCTATTAAGTTTCATGAGGGTTGGCCAAAGCAATCCTGATTTGTAGCCAATTAAGTGAAATAAACTAAACCCAGGAAGCTTAATTGGCACGTGATGGCCATACTGTTTATAAATATTCAATGCTTTTCAACAATTCTTCGTGTCAAGAATCACCTAAACAGTTTGAGACTAATACCATGTGGATAGCTTCAAAAACCTAGCAGAAAATTGTAAATGACACAAATTTTGCCAATTATGATAGAAAATATGGGGGCAAAGCAAAATACATTCAGGGGGGCTTTTATGTAGAATAAACCAAGGATTATGCAGAAACAAGAATTCTGACTGAAGGCCTAACAGTTCAAGAGACATGGGCCAAAACATGAAATGTTGCACTATAGCACTACCATCAGGCCACTCAAGGTCATTGCTTGCCTGAGTAGTGGGGGAATACTACACCTACCCTCCAGATATGGTGTTTGGATGACTTGCAGTGTCTTCTCCACAGTCAGTTTTAGGGCAGTAAAAGATTGCAAGTGGCAATCATCAGGATCCAAGCACCATGAGGACAATGACCAAGAGGCTTATGTGGTGGCTTCTGGTCGCAAAGGGCAGCAAAAAATTGCTTTGCTTAAGAAACTAGGTGATATGTCCACTACAATTTATACATCTCCATTTAACGCCCAATACGGGGATTCGAACCCACGACCCTAGTCTTCAACTGCAGATGTTCTCAGCTACCATTTTTGAAACAATTTATTGGAAGGGAGCAACAAGAAACCACACAACATTTTAGGACAAAGTAGAAGCATAAACAAATGCGTTCCAGTTTTGACTTGGGCATAGCTTTGACAGTTTGGGGGTGGGCAAAGTGGTGGTTTTGACAGTTTGGGGGCGGACTCATGGCCCGTTACTGTCCACGAATGCTATTGGCTGATGGCTCCTGGTTGTGTGGCTGACACACTGGCACAGTATGAAAAGCCCTTCTTCAGAAGACAAAGATGGAGGACAAAGAGGAATGGCGACAGTTACATTACAATAATATTTTAATAGTCAAGCTTAACATCTTTAACTGTTTTGCTTTGCTTAAGAAACTAGGTGATATGTCCACTACATGTTGGTAGTGCTAACATTATCCATTTACTTTAAACTTAATCTGTATGAAGTGCGATGTTAGGTTAGCTAATAGCTAAGTTAACGTTAAGTGAAATTAGCAACGAAATATCAGCAACTTAAATTGTGCAAAAGGACATTTTTTTAAGAAATGAATGTGACATCGACAATGCAATTTCATATCTCTAATATATGGCGCCACGTTGGCTTCAGAGTATAGTTGATTTGTCTCGTGAAGTATCAAGCTAGCTATGCTACAGCCATAGCAGTTTTGCTTGGGTCAACTAACTAGGGCATGTCAGAGATAAAACAGTATCTTTTTTACAAGATGATATGCATCTGAATGTCTGTTGACAATATAGCTGCAAGATAAAGCTGCCATAAAGGGGAACTCCACAAATTCTACATGAATAAATGACTTTGTTTACATCTCAAACATTCACGCTGGTTTGATGTGAAATGCACTGTTTGAGAGAAACTTACTCATTTCTGTACAGTGGCGGTGATAGGAACCAAGAGTCACGATGGCTACAATACAAACATAGCCTTTTAATTTTTGTACTTATTTACTCTCCAAAACCACCAGTGAACCTACATGTGTCTTTGGAGTTTTATATGCAATGATTATGATGGTAATCTGAAAAAAATATGTTTTCTTTGGGGACTGTTTTGCCCCATAACGCCCTTGTATTCCTCCACTATGAAAGGATTAAAACAAATGTCAATGTCAATGTAAAACAAGGCAACGTATTCATAACCATGTCATGAAATACCTTTATGTGAGGGAGCTTTAAGAGGCATTAAACTCTTCAGACATCTGGTTCCTATCACCACCAGTTTCTTGAACGAGCCCAATGTCATATGTTTCCTCAGCTGAATACTGTCAATGTACATAAAACATTTGGTCACAGTCAGAGCACCACTGACAGATTTATGGTCCATTGTGACAGAATAGGCCAGGCCAAAATAATTGATTCATAACATCAGATTTTTTAAATAATAATTGACCTTGAGACCAAGTTTGAGATGGTGCAGTACAAATCCACAAAGGAAGTAATTATTGACCTTGAGATAGATATTGCAAAGCCTACAACTGTAAGTATGTTTGAAATCATAATTTGCATTTAATGCTGATGCTCCCTCTGGTGGCCAGAGAAGATATTACCATTCCTGATTCAGAGTAATTTGAAACCATTATCTTTTATTTCAGTCATAGAAGGATATAATGACATTTTAATAAATATGCACTAGGGGCTCATGGTGATCAATTTAAATGAAACTTTGCATGCTTCCTCAGACAATGGTAATGTACATTGTACAAGTTTTATCACAATCACTTGAAAACTAGAAAATGTATAGCCCCTTAAGTCAGTTAAAGCCAGGCTAAACAGATTCATTGAAGTCTCATGGACATTCTTTGCAATAAAGTCAAGATTTTTATTTGATAATTATTTACCTACAGACTCCACAGATTGTTTTAGGACCAAGAAACAATTTGCCTAAAATTCACTGCAACCTTAAATTCACTGATACTGTTATGCCTTGTGTGTTTGCCTGGTCTTGTGTGTTTTGTATTCATTGCAGATTCCATCCCGTAACTTCACCCTTTCCGCTCCCGGACCCTGCTGATCCATTCCATGGTTTCATCTCCTCCCACCTGCTTAAAGAGGCCTGGATGGCTTGGTTCACCAGGAGACTTCCTCATTGTACTGCTGCTTATTTTGTGTACACTTTGTAAACTCTTGCCTGTTTTGCTTGCTTTTGACCCTGCTTTGTTTTGACTACGATTTAGCCTGACCCTAATAACTGTATATATCTTGTATATATTTGTAAATAGTCAATGTGAACTGGCTGTAGGGAGTGGCTGCCATTTTGTTTGGGAACGGGTTTGTCTGTGTGTATGGTTAGTCAGGGAGGTAGGTTAGTATACTGTCTTTTATTTGTTTTTGTTTGTATGTAGGGTAGGTAGTTGTGTTGTAAAGTTAGTGTGGGGTTGTTTGTTGTTTTGGCCTGGGCCATTCCTGACGTTTGTATTCTTCTAATAAGTCACATAATACAGTCTTGAACTTAAGTTACATCTGGTGCTTCGTCTCCTCTCCCACATCACATTTAATTCTCACTCTCTTCAGATTGTTACGGCCTGACCGAGACCGGGTCAAAACAATACCTAAGATCACTTACACTTCCTTTCACTGCCACTTTAAATGCACTGCCACCTTAAATCACAAACATAAATTCACTGCCACCTTATGGTGGCTTTAACAACCCAACATTATTATTATTATTATTATTATTATTATTATGATGAAGAAGAAGAAGAAGAAGAAGAATTATTGAGAAGTTGACCAATAGAGTGACAGTGAAAGCCTTCTTTCAAGACCTGCCCACTGTTAAAAAGTGCCAAAGGTAAAAAGCAAAAGAAAAATCTCAGAGGCAAAAGAGCAATTCCAAAAGCTAAAAATATATCAGCAAAATCAGCAAACAGTACTAATAATAGTAGTAATATTAACTCTTAACTCTCATTATTTATATTTGGAACATATTTTGGACATTTTGATACTTAACATGGCTTGGGGATTTTATTTTATATGACACTTCGGCACTGACTCACCTAAGAAAAAGAAAGCTTTATTGATTAGAATTAAATATCTGTAATTCTGCACAGTATAGATCTGTAACAATTGCTGATGCTGTTCCAATAGCGCTCTGGAAGGAGCCACAGCTATACAAAAAGACAATGCAAACTATGAAAGCTTTTTGGTGTTTTAGTATAAGTATCTGCACTTAACATGGTCATAGTGTAAAGGGCCTGGATTTATATTAGCATAAAACTCTTTTTCATGAACAAACATTGAGAAAGATTAACTTTTCGTCCAATCTTTTATTGTGCTCCATAATGGCACAAACCCTTGTTTTCACAGAGAGCTAGACATTTGGTGGTACATCTAGAAAGCATGTGTTTGCTGAGAGAGCTAGAGAGCTTAGCTTTCAAAGGATGAATCAACAACACCCTGTGTGCATTTTACACCAAAAAGTGCCCTTGGAGCAAAATGTTTCTCTTTTGCATGTCACGTCACTTTCTAACAGCATCTGATTCAGTGCTGCATCAAAACAAGCACTCAAATCAAAGACACCAACAAGTGTTTAAAAAACTCAATTAAGAACCTAAACATTCTGACTGAAGTTTTTACAGTACTAAAAAAATTGTGTTTGTCAGTGAGATGGACACGACCCTAATGAGGTGATGGATGTAGATCTCAGGGGCTCTTAAAGGTTTCAGTGCTGGCTCCAAGCACAACCACATGGGTCCCCACAAGCTCTTTTTTGGTCCCAAAGAGAATGCAGCTCCTCTACTGTATGCTGAGGTGACGACAGCATGTCCACATAGCATTCCTTCTCACACAACCAGCCTGCGTCCTGTCCACAAGCAACACAATACAACATATTACAACACAAGTTTTCAGAATACAAGATATCAGATTACAAGAAAGGTATTACTACTTGTGATAGATAAATTCAAAGTTTTTTTGTTACCTTAAAGCTACACTAAATAAGGTTTGGGGATTCAGAGACCTCTCTGGTGGAAATTTGTAATTGCAAGCAATGTGCAGAAAAACGCTTTGTAACATCAGTGCTTTGGAAACCTCCCCCAAGCGGAATAATATGTGACTGTTGAAAGAGTATTCAAAGAAAATCAAAGAAAATTCAGTCAAAACCTGGTGAAGGACGTGAATTATCTACTACATTATATGAAGAATTTAAATACAAAATGCTGTATATCCATTTGTAACGATTTTGGATATAAAAGTCTTTGAAAAAAATAACATCTGAAGTAAAATGGTAACACATTTTTATTTCCTTAATAAATGTGGTATTAATTATAACATCGCATTGATATTTCTTGTATGCATTTGGAATCTGCAGGGATATTTTTTCCACATATCCAAAATTTAGTTTTAGAAGCAGCAATCTTCATGAACCAAGTAATCCAGTGATGTTGAGGTTTGGGGCCGAATTACAGAAACATCCTAACTCTGAAATCATCTCATCTGTTTAGTCACCAAGACAACTTCAGTTAGGACTGAATTTAGGACAGCAGCTATTACAAAACAACAGTTCTTGATTTCATAATTTTATCATAACTCTAGATATAAAAACAGTATTACATCCTAACTTGCTAACTAGACAAAACTTCCTAAATACCATCCTAACTTTAAGACAACCCCAGCAGTGTCCTAACTTCTGTTTTAACAGTCCATTTTTACTGTTTTTAGGTAACTCTGACAGCACAGTCCACTACTAGCGTAATGACATTACATGTATTTATATTGCAATTGGGTGGTTTCACTTGAGATTTTTGTTTTCCTTTCTCTACCTTTTAAAATTTCCAGATACTGCAGACACGATTTCCAGCGTCAACTCTAACGTTAATGTAGATAAAAACTTGTGAAATAAAAATATTGCAGCAATGAAGGTGAATAACGAGGAGACTTGTAGTGCGTTCCAATCGGGAGACAGCTGTCTAAGTAGGCAACATTTTAAGGCAACATTTTAAAGCAGCATTTGCAGGCTCCTGAGACGAAGACTGTCCCACTCGGAAGGCAGCATAAGGCAGCTGACTTCTAAGATTCCTTATTTTGTCCAAATCTGAAGCCAGCAATGCAGGTATCCTTCTCAGCGAAGGCAATCCCACAATACTGTTTACCGGCAGAGAGTTCCATCGCTTCAGTTTGAATGATTATTTCAGGGAGAAAACTGCACTGAACGACTGAAAGTAGCTCACTTGCCCAACGTATATGGGGGAAAACACTGCGGAACCAGCGCTGCAGACTGATGTTCTCCTTGACCAAAAAAAAATACGGTAACTTACTGGACAAAAATCAATACCACAAATGCTTGTTTTGTCTGCTCTGCTTGTCTTGTATTGGTGTGCTTATCACAGTCACAACAGTGTTAAGTGAATGCTGATGGCAAAGTTTCAGAGTAGGAGCTCATAAGATGAGAATGCATGAAATAAAAAGCGTAGTAACCAGTTTAACAGATTGTGTGCATTCCTTTTTTTCTGAGTGCATTTTGTATGGAATTATGCGTAGTTTTTATCCTTTGTGTGTTAGAAATAAAATAGGTTCATTAAGGTAGATGAGAACAGTGAATGAATTAAACGGATTCACAAACTAGTAGTCATGATTATCTGAATTTATCTCTGGCATCGAGTCAAGTATATAACAACAGCTACGACTCAAAGCAGCCTGTCCTTTTACACTGAGATGATCCACCTTTACAGTCAGAGGTAAGTGTAAGCTAATGAGAGACTGCGAGTAAACAGATGAAACGTGAACAACGCAGTGAAACTTATGATGTAGGATGGTTCTGAAGTGCTGTCCCGAATGTGATGCCTACTAAGGTTCCTTTTTGGTTTCAATGCTGCCCAACAAGAGAGGTGCCTTTGAAGGCAGTGACTAGTTAGGCAGCTGCCTAAGGAATGGAACGCACTATTAGTTTAATGTTTACTACGAGGAATAACACAGCGTAGATCACTTGCTAGCTAAAATATTTGGGAAACTGGAACTAGGAAATGGCAATAAACAGTTTTTGGCCATGTTGTCAGACGAAACTGTGGGCTAATCAATATTGACAAAAATACTGGTCAGGCTCTGGTCTTAACCTTAATTGGTCTTGCCTCACACTAACCCAACCTTTAATTGCTTAAAAGGTATGCTGCCGTAAAATCCATTGGATTCATACTGTTTTTACCTTGATACTAATGAATATAAACACTAGTAATGCAATGAATTACAATGATGATCGCTGATAGCTGCATGTTCTTTAACAACTATCAAATTTCAGTAAATTTTTCACTTTCGGTTCTGCCACGGTTCAGAAAGGCAGCTTAATTTGCCACTCCTCCCAATATTTTGGTTAAGCAACCCCCAACGAAACAATGAATACAAAATTTAAAGTGAATTTCTCAATGAAGAATAAAGGGGCAGCTCGCCGGGCCAAGAACAAAATGGTGAAGATGAACCAGAGGTTAGCCTCCGGAGTATACTGAATGAGCTCAAGGATTTCAGATGTGTAAACAAGCAACAACTAACTGACATCAAACAAGAACTGAGCAGAATGAACATCTGCCTAGAACAAGCAGAAGAGCGGACTGATGAGGCAGAAACGAAGCTCCAGGCAGCAGCAAGGCTACTTAAGTGCCTTCTACAACGTCAAGCAGACATGGAAGTGAAGCTAACTGATCAAGAAAGCTGATCTCGCAGAGACAATCAGCGATTTACAGTATACCCGAAGAAGCAGAGGGAAAGGATATGATCGGCCTTCTGGAGAATTTACTGAAGAGTACACTGGGTTTTTACATGAACAACTGAGAATCAAGAGAGCTCATAGAGCTCTGGCCCCAAAACCAACCAATTCACAGGGGAAACCACGGTCCATCGTTGTAAAATTTTCAAGCTATAGAACTAAAGAAGAGGTGCTCCGCAGAGCCTGGCAGGAAAGAGGAGTCTTTTACAACAATGTCCGCTTTTATGTGCATCATGATTTCCCCACTGCTGTGCTTAAGAAACAAGGCGAGTACACCGAAGCAAAGAAGATTCAGAAACAAAAGTAAATCAAGTTCCAGACCCTTTACCCAGCATGTAAAGTCCACAGGAACACATAAGTCACTTCACCAATTTGAATTCTTATCAGTTTTTGATTATTCAAGTTTAGTTTTCAGCTTGAAGCAGAAGTTAGAGGGTAATTCAATAACATTATTGAACTTTTATGCCTTTCCAGGTAGTGATTTTGTTTTCTATTGGAAATTGTTTGATTTAATGGAAGGAGCAGAGAGTATTCTTATTTGTGGGGGAGAATGCATTGTCTTAGTCCAAGGCTAGATTCTCCTAAAGAATCTTCTGTGACAACACTGCAAAAAAAAAAAAAAAATTACCTACTTATACTGGAGTTGGCATAGTGGATCTCTGGAGAGATTTTAACCAAGTAAATCGTGATTATACATATTACTCCCCAACATGATGTTTATTCTAAAATTGATTAATTTTTATATTTAACAGGGATCGATACAAAATATGATGATGTGATATAGGAAGAATTGATTTATCGGATCATGCACCTATTTCGTTGGATATACAAATTCATAGAATTCCCGGAAATACATTGTGGAGGTTAAATTTAAGTATTTTAAATAATCTACAATTTAAGAAACAAGTAGCACAAGAAATAAAAATGTTTTTGCAAGAGAATGACACAGGGAAAGTGGGTTCAGAGATAACCCAACAGCACGAACAAAGATAAATGGGTATCTCACCGATACTGTCCAGTTGAAACGGGGTACAAGACAAGGGTGTGCATTATTAGACAGATTTACTCTGAAATGGAATCAAAATTCATTGAAATACAGTATATTTACCGAAGAATATATCCACACTGGCGGAGATCAACTATGGCCCCCTTCTGACAAAAATAAAAGCAGATATACAGAGATAGAACTCTTTTTTGAGTCTTAGTCATAGAGTAGATTCTGTAAAGATGAATATTCTCCCTCGATTCCTTTATTTGTTTCAGACTCGTCCGGTAGAAGTTTGTTCAAAACAATTTTCAGAATGGAATAAAATGATTTCATGATTTATATGGCAGGGGAGGAGACCCAGGGTTAGATTTAAAACTTGACAACTTTTAAAGGAAGAAGGGGGAACAGCCCTCCCCAGTCTTAAAGATTACTTCTACTACAGCTCAGATCAGATCCTTGATAAATTTGTGCAACCCGGATTTTCATGCCAGATGGAAAGATATTGAATTGTTAATAAAGAGGGGTCCTCCAATACACGCAGTACTAGGTGATAAAGACTTCAGAACATTTGTGGACAGAGTGCAAAACCCCTGGAAGTTTCAACTAAAAATTTGGAGTACAGTTAAGGAGGAATATAAATTCAATGACATAATATGAATATTTAGATGGTGTGCCTATGATGTAGACTTTAAACCTAATGTAAGGGATTACAGACTTAAAACTTGGACAGCTAAAGGAGTAACACGGGCAGTTAAAAGATTTCCAAATCTTGAGAGAAACGTATGCTCTGGAAAAACAAGATTTTTTATAGAGACCTCCAGATACATCACTATTTTGATCATAAAATTAAAAAGAAAATCTAATTCTACACAATACATTAAAAACAAATGGGAAAAGGAAGGCAGCTTTGTAATTTCAAATGAGGAGTGGTCAAAATTATGTGACTCACAATGGAAGTACACCAATTCACATGTATAGCGGGAGTTTGGATGGAAGAGTCTTATTCGTTTTTTTATTACTCCAGAACAGAGTACATTTTACGGGGCATGTAGCTGAATGCTGGAGACTATGTGGGAATCAGGCACCCAACCATTGGCATATATTTTGGGAATGTCCAATAATAAAGCATTTCTGGATGGAAGTACAGACTGCATTGATGGATATATTTAATGTTGAAATGCGTTTCCAATTTGAGGTACTATACTTGGGAAACTTTGATTTATATTTTGAAGAATCTGGTAAATACCTATTTGGGTATTTTTGCCTGTAAAAAAATATAACTCGGCGCTGGTACCTTCCTGACTCTCCTTCAATAAAAGATTGGATAGACATAGTAAATGAAACATATATTTTGGAAAAAGAACACATTTTCACTCCACCTACAAATGACCAAATTTGTTAAGTTCGGGTCAAAATGGATTGCTTTTGTAAAACCCTTACAACCACATTTTAAGGAAGTATCCAATAATTAATCCCGTCTGTTTTGTGGTCCTGTTTCTCCCATTTATGCTGTATACTCTTCTATCTGATCACTCCCTGTCAAAATGTATACAGTTGTTGGAGTTTTATAATTGCATAAAGTGAACTGAAATGGGACAACGCAAAGAGTCTGTTCAGACGGCAAGAACTGTTCTCGTTGTTGTCAATCTTACTTACCTTGCGTCTATTATTCTTGTTTACATCTGTAAGTTTGGACACTTTCTGATTTTCTCATTAAATAAAGATTAAAAAAGTAAATATTTCTATTAAAAAAATTATATAATTCAAAGGGCGGCGCAGTGGGTAGCGCTGTCATCTCACAGCAAGAATGGCCTGGGTTCGATTCCCGGCCGGGCGACCAGGGTCATTTCTGTGTAGAGTTTGCATGTTCTCCCCGTGTCTGCGTGGGTTTCCTCCGGGTACTCCGGTTTCCTCCCACAGTCCAAAGACATGCAGTCAGGCCAATTGGACGTGCTAAAATTGCCCCTAGGTGTGAATGTGTATGTCTGCCCTGCGATGGACTGGCGACCTGTCCAGGGTGTATCCTGCCTTCCGCCCAATGACAGCTGGTATAGGCTCCAGTGCCCCACCGCGACCCAGAAGGATAAGCGGTTTAGATGATGTATGTATGTATGTATGTATATAATTCGGTTGCCTTAAAAATGTTTCCCCAAAATTAGCCTTAAAATTTGTGTTTTGTATTTCCCCTTTTCTCTTCTTTTTTTGCCTTTTACCATTCTGTCATGTGGGTGTGGACCCCAGCATATTGTATATTCATTATAACCTCTTCATTTACAGACTCTACACTAAAACACAAAAGCCCAGGTTTTCCTTATTAACTTCTAGTATTGCACATGCTGGAAACTGCCTCACACTAACCCAACCTTGCATGTTTGAGCCTGAATAAAACGATTGAGAACATAAACTGAATCTGAACCTTGTAGCAGCATCTAAGTGGTACTACTTAGGGTGAGATTCTACACTTGTGTTAACTAGTTAACTTGCACCTCTGTGAGCCAGGCATTATGAATAATTTAGCCACTGCATTCTCCTCCACATTGCCTGCTGTAAAATTAGGTGTCAAGAAAGCTGTCCCTTTCAGTTAAAAGTCAGCTGGCAAAACCCAAGCCGTACAAATGCTTGTACTAGGTGTCACGGCAACCACAAAAAGAAATATGATGAGCTATTTTGCTTTGGTCTCATTATTTGGAATTGAATGAAGAGAGTAACCATACTCCTTCTTGCACTACAAAACTGAGCATTTGAAAATGGCACCGATCTCAGACTAGCTACATCAAGTAATATGGTGAGTGCGGAGTGTGAGAGGGCAAGTTGATTTTACAATTTATGAATATGCAATATAAGCCAGTCTGATTGACTGTAGGCAACTCGTGTTAAGTATGCTGTCAAAGATTACAGGTGGTTTGGGGCAGTGTAAAAGATCACAGGTTATTTAGGCACTCCTTAGTGCACAATACATGTTGTGCTGAAGCATATGTTTGAATATAATCACACAATTCCTGAAAATATAAAATTTTCAGAAGGAAGGAAAATATTACTGTGCTGAAATTTGAACATTTGTCAAAATATCATCCATTTTAGTTAGCACCAGTTTCCAGTCCTTTAAATCTTGCACTGTTTTTCATTGTAAAAACATATTCACTTTTTTACCTGATATTTATTAGGCCCCACTGCAGCCATCCATATTCCCATGCTCACATCCTCACCCTATAAAACAGCACACAGCCACCAAGTTAAACCCACAACCACCGAAGCAGACTACCAGTAAACAATATCTTTTAAACATATACGACTTGTGTCTACCACGATACTTCCACAATTCAAATGTATGATTCATGCTTTATACATATGTGTGTGTGTATACATAATTCCGTCACTGAGACAAAGTCATTCAGAGCGTTCTGATGTAAATAGTGCACTGTAGAGAAACTAAATGTGTTTTTCTGTGTAATATGATAAAAGGAGAATAATGGCATATCTGAAAAGAAAAAAAAAATGCACAAACCACTCCACCACGAATGGATTTAAAAGGCACATTTTCAGCCAAAACTATTTTAAAACAATGCCTCAGACATTAGGCAGCATGTTCATAACCAACGTATGTAGGAATTTATGGGATGCAGATGAGTTAAAGGAATTAAACTCCTCGGACATGTGGTTCCTATCACCACCACTGTGAACAGTTCTGACTTGGTAAGTTACTCTACAATGCAAGTCACTCAGAATGACTTTGTCTTAATCATTTAATTATGTAGACATTTTGAGAAAGTGGTGGAATGCCACTTTAAGGTGTAAATAAACTTAGCGACTATGCATGCATGATTATGTTCTATTTAAGAAGTGATAGCTGATTTAGATAAATTAATTTAATGTTAATACACGTTAGGGATGCACCGATATTGCAGCCATAAAACATTTTCGATTGGAATGGCTTTTAAATGACACTTTCGCTTTTCAGCTGAAAGAGAACAAAAGATTAAACAGTCCTACAACAAGCCCTTACAAATAACTGTAATGGCAATGAAAATGAGAAATAGTGGAATGGGATAGAGTTATGCAACAGAGGGGAAGGCAGGTAAACTGGGAAATTGCATGGGCTAACGTTTTTAGGGCATTACATAACCCCAATCATTAATTCATCCATCTTAAAATATGCCACAGGGCTTATCTGACACCCAGGGTAAGACACTTGATAGGTTTAAGCCGTCACCCCTTCTGTACCTTCTGTCCACATGGGAATCTGGGGAGCACATTATGTGGGACACCCCAAAAGTTTATGCTCTTTGGGAGGAGGTTGATTCTCTCTCTTCTCTGACCAAGACATACTTCCTCACGGACCCTGAACTTCATTTACTGAATGATAACTCCAAGTTCCCCATTATGGAAAGTTCCAGGAAAATATGGCTGGCTGGCTTAATGGCAGCAAAATAATTATTGTCCAGCCCTGGCTACCCCCTCACAACCTGGCTCCATACCTTACTGGATATCCTATATCTGGAACTGCATCTGCAAGAATTAACAATGCTGCCCCTACAACTCTTCATACATGGATTCACGTAATCTCTAAAATCGGGACCCTTGTGCTTGCTTAACTATATGCTGTGTTGAAGTTGTGAACAATGTAACTTAATTTTCATGTGTCCTATGTTGTAGTTATGTTTTTTTCCTTTGTAAGTCCCGTGTGTGTGTGTGGGTCGGGGCTGGAATGGAGGGGGTTGTTATTCTTTAAATGGAAAATAATAAAAAATTAATCACAAAAAAGAAAATAAAGAAAACAGTGATTAAAAAAAGGTGATTGTTTTCTTTGTTTTTGTGCTGGTCAGTGCAGATGTGTTCAGGTAGTTTGAGTGGCAGCAGGTCAACATTTTCCGGTATTTCCGTTTCTCAGTAAGGCATTAGACCACTGATTTGTAATCACTGTTCATGCTGAGAATCAACAGGGGATATAATGCCCAAGCTGTTCTCCACTATATGTTTATTACCACTTGAAAACACACCATCTCACTCTATACGCAGAATACAGTAAAACCTCAAAAGCATCATTCATAGCTTGAAATGACAAAAGATTAACAAACAAAAAATGATGGAATTCATTGCCTTCGATGCATTGTTTTTTTCGATTTTTGGCTTTTTGACCCAGTGTGTCCAGAATTACGATTTCAGTTTTGGCTAGGAATTATGATTTTGGTGCATCATTAACACAGGTATATAATTATAATAATTCATGCTACTGTGAACACCCTACATAATGTATCCCTTTATTAAACATGCAAATTTCATAAGATGTCATATTGGCTATATTTATTTTCCAGTGAAAATTATTATTTAGGTTTAAAACACAATTACTGTAAACTCATAGGTAGGCAGTAAACTACAGAATACTACACAAGTGTAGATAACCGGTGTACCCTAAAGTAATTGTGTGAATTTAGAGAACGGAGAGCACCTGGTAAGCTTTCAGCTTTTCTGCATTGCTGGCCAGCCACACAACCAAGTCCCTGGACACCACATATCCAGAGCCACAGGCAAAGGCTGGATACACAGGGCTAGCATACTCCAGCTCCTGCCACTTCCCTAGGCGGTCTACAGCCCAGTTCTGCCTGAAGCTGGGGAGGTAGATTGCACATTGTTCATCGGTATGAATGACAACTATACACATGGCTATAAGGTTTTAATTTGTATACTTTTTACACAAGCATCAGTGGGTGTGTTTAATTTCAAACAGCATTTACTATTCAATAAATACCTGGTATTATGCATTAAAGGTGATGGTTTGACCAAAATCCAAGCATTTTCTCTTACCCCAAATGTAGTCAATCAGCCAAGATGTGTTTGGTGAATTTGCACTAGAGCTACAGACAGGTGATTAAGGGGAAACTCTTATTGAAAAAACTGGAGAAACATAACAAGTGCAGATGCTTCCAGAAAGATGTACTAAATGACGTACTTAAGTAATTAACAGCCTACGTATTCTGTGGTATGTATAAAAATATGTCTCTTGGAATATATTTATAGTTAATTGCACATTCATTACCATTAATTATACATTATATATAGTTTACAATATATTATGTATTAATATAACATTAAATAATATATAGATTAAACGATTATTACTACATTATAGTCTTAGACAAGCTGTGCATTGTAACTAGAAGCAATGGTAAGGTTATTCTCTGTTTCTTTCTTCTTTAAAACTTATACAGAATCATTACTAAATGAACATAAACTATACTACATCTATTTGTACTATCAAAAGAAAACATAGTAATAATAACTTCTAATCTACTCTCAGGGGATGTCTGAATTTTGGATGAACTCCAACAAACAAATACTCCTCATTATACTACACATTTAACAAAACGTAAATTTAAACTTGACAAATATTGTTCATTATTTGCAAAAGTAAAATAGATTTATATTGAGCTCAACGACTGATCTGGCAAAAAGCTGGCCAGTTATCTTTTCAGTGCAAGCATAACCGAAATGAAGTAAGTACAGTAGTGCTGGGCTTTGCATGCATAGGAATTGAAAATGATGGATGCCATTTTTGCCCAGTGTCTTTCTTATTGTGGAATCATGTACACTGACCTTAACGGAGGCAAGCGAGACCTGCAAATCTTTAGATGTTGGTGTGGGTTGTTTTGTGACCTCCTAGATGAGTCGTCAGAGCGCTCTTGGCGCCCTTGGTAGGCCGGCCACTCCTGGGCAAGTTCAACACTGTTCCAATGTTTCTAAATTTGTGGATAATGGCTCTCACTGTGGTTCGCTGGAGTCCCAGAGCCTCAGCAATGGCTTTGTAACCCTTTCCAGACTGGTAGATTTCAATTACTTTGTTTCGCATATGTATTTGAATTTCTTTAAAATGTAGAATCATGCACTCACATTGCCAGACAGGTTCTATTTAAGTTGTGTTTAGATTTGACAGGTCTGACTGGTTTGTGGCTAGCAAAATTGAACCCAATAGTGAACTGAATTTACTTAACTGATTGATTTAGTAGCTAAGGGGGCAATTACCTTTTTACATAGGGCCAGGGTTGAACAGCATTTTTCCTTCAATAAATTAAGTCATCAATTAAAAACACAATTTTGTTTTCTTGGGTTATCTTCGTCTAATATTAAAATTAGTCCGATGATCTGAAACATTCAACTGTGACAAATATGCAAAAATGAAATGAATTGGGAAGGGGCAAATACTTTTTCACACCACTGTACATGCTTGACAAAATGAAGAATCTGAATATTCTTTATCTTCTAGATAATGTATATGTAGAATATGTAGATGTACGATGCTTGTCTGCAACAGTCAGAAATAACTAAAGATACCATTAAAGAGGTGTGTAAATTAGCCCAGATGATGTCTGATGCCATAATATGCTCTGGCCCCATCCCAGTTCGACGTGGCGCAGAAATCTAAGGCAAGTTATGGTTGCTGAACTGCTGGTTGTCCAAGTGGTGCTCAGAAAACAATGTGGGCTTTGTAGATAATTGGTCTACTTTTGAGGGCCTGCCTGCTCTTTTGAGTCGGGACAGTATCCACCCCTCGCGGGAGGGTGCTGCTCTCATTTCTTGTAGTATAACTCAGAGTCTCTCAGATAGCCATAAGTGTAGGACAGCCAGTCGCTGACAAACCAGGGCCAAGGCCAGGCAGCAGACAAACAGGCTAAACCGACCGTCTACAGGTTCCACCCAATTGAGACTGTGTTTGTTCCCTGAATCAAAAAAAAATTCAGAAAATCTCAAAAAGTTTGTTCTGCTGATCTAATCAATATCAGACTAATTAAACCAGTTTGCAGTGACAACACCTTTGGTCTAAAACTAGGACTGCTTAACATAAGATCTCTTACATGTAATGCTGTTGTTTTAAATGAAATTATAACTGATCGTGATTTCGATGCTCTGTGCCTCACAGAAACGTGGATTAAACCAAAACAAAGTCACTCCCACAAGCTACAATTATGCGCAGAGCTCTCGTTTAAGAGGCGGGGGTGGAGGTGTAGCAACCTTTAAGTATGAACCAGAAAGCAGGCTACAAATTCTCTTTTGAAATTCTTATTTTTAATATAAATGATGTATGTGAATGCACTCACTGACATTTTTAAAAACTGTTAATTTTTTGAATGCAGACAGACAAAATTCAGTGTATTTTTATTTATACATACACTATATGGACAAAAGTATTGGGACAATTACACATTACACCTACAGGAGCTTTTATGACACACCACTCTAAATCCATAGGCATTCATATGGAATTGGTCCCCCTTTTGCAGATACAACAACTTCCACTTTTCTGGGAAGGCTTTTTACAAAATGGATTTTTTTTCCCATTCATCCAGAAGAGCATTTGGACAACAGGCCCTGGCTTGTAATCTCCATTCTAGTTCATTCTAAAGGTGACTGAGGGGTTGCGGTCAGGGTTTTGGGCAGTCCAATAAAGTTCTTCCACACCAAACACACCCAACCATGCTTTTATGGACCTTGCTTTGTGCACTGGGGCATAGTCATGCTGGAACAGAAAAGGGCCTTCTCCAAACTGTTCTCAGATTCATCCATCACATTGCCAGATAGAGAAGCATGATTTGTCACTCAGCAGAATGCGTGTCCACTGCTCCAGAGTCCAGTGCTGGTGTGCTTCACACCACTCCCTCCTACACTTGGCATTGTGCATTTTGATCTTAGGCTTGCAGGTAGCTGCTCAGCCATGGAAACCAATTTCGTGAATCTCCTAACATGCAGTTCTTTTGCTGATGTTGCTTCCAGAGGCAATTTGGAACTCTTTATTGAGTGATTTACCAGAGAACAGGCACTCTGCGCTTCAGCACTCAGTGGCCCCACTCTATGAGTTTACATGGTCTACCACTTGCTGGGGGCTAAGCTGCTGCGCAGAGGAGCTTCCGTTTTAGAATAACAGCACTCACAGTTCACAGGGGTAGATCTAGCAGGACAGAAATTTCACAAACTGATTTCTGGCCGAGGTGGCATCCTATGACATTACCATGTTTAAAGTCACTGAACTCATCAGTACAACCCATTCTACTGCCAGTGTTTGTCTTTCGAGACTGCAATGCTATGTGCTTAATTTTATCAACGTGTTGGCAATGAGTGTGGCTGAAAAAATATTACATTATGTAAATGACCACACAAACACTTTTTAAATGTATTTTTGTTTTATCAATACAGGAGAAAAATAGATCGACTGACCTATCTTGGACTGCCATGCAAGATTTGTTTGTGTTGTTTCTTTACTATTTCTACACCTTTCAAAAATACATTTTCAGGAGCAATGAAAATCTGTTGCTACTTCCCTTATAAAAGCCAGTTTTTCAGAAAATATGAATAAGAAGATAGGATGGGTATTGTATGTTTTCTTTATAAAGAAAGAATAATCCTTGCTGAATATTGGCAGAGTACTATTACTATGTTTTTGTTTCCCAACCAACCGATTAATCGAAGTCTTATTATTATTATAATTATGAAATATAAAATGTTATAGTTCTATTTACTGTCTTTGAGACTGGGTTGTGAAGTAATCTCAAATAGATGAACAGATTTGGATAACAGAATGCAATACAAGTAATCACATAAGCAGGTCTGCATAATCAAGTTGACTACATTTGGGGTACATTTTGGGCCTACACTGTGTAAATTAGATTTTTGGTATTTAATGCAACATTTTACAAACTACAAATTGTTTTTATAAGGAAATCATTCTTGTTCAGTAAATAACTCCTTTTTAGATAGAAAAGCCCACACTATACTCACTTTCCCCACCAGAGGCTGCTCCGTGTCAGGCTCTTGCGGTCAATCTTCATTAATACGGCATCCACATTAATATAGCAATCATCATCTGTCTTCAGGAGCAGATTGAAGTCAGTGTTCCTTATGGCCCTACCAGCATGACAAATTCACAAACTTTCATTTACTCAGGAGCACAAGTAAGGCAACCAGGTAAGTACTAAAATGTTTTGCAGGCTGAGCTCAGTAAAAGTTCTGAAGCAATTTGGTAGATTCTGGTGCCCATACAATCATTTATAATCTGCAGGCAATATTTAAAGGTGGTTTCAGGCAATGCAGTGACTGGTGTTCAGAACTTACCATTTATAAAACTGCAGCAGTTTGGAAGGCACAGTCCTGTAAGTGTCCACTATGTCCACAAACACCATGTCTCCATACCTATGGCTCTCCTCCTGTAAGGCCTTGTCCTCTTCTCTCAACCTGGCAACATGGGCCTGCTGCCTGCCAGCTTGCCTACGAAGCATTTCCTTTAGAACCTCCACATCTGACAGTGACAGAATGAGAACAACACAGTGACTTGAATCGTAAAAAGCAGAAAACTAGAGATTGCTCAAGGATAAGTACAGAATTAGAGGCAAGAGTCTGCAAAAGGGTGCCTTAGCATATGTACACATCACTCACAACTACTGATAAGGTACAGATATCGATACTGGTATGAGAGTCCAAAGTATTCATTTCATAATTTGAAATTCATCCAGGGTGTCAATCCACAAGCCTGAATTTCAGGACAACCACTGCATAAACTACTTACTATACTTACTATAAACTGAGAAAGTGAACCCTCCAGCCAGCCCAGGAAAACCCACCGCACTCCTGTGAGGCAAGGTGCCCTCCTCTATCTGCAAAACATAGATAAACCCTTCTTCTTATCTTTCTTAAGATAAGCTGGGCAAAACCAATTATAGATAGATAAACATATACTAACAATGTTTAATGATACTACTGAAATGAAAAAGCAAATGAAAATCTGAATATCAATTAGGGCCATCATGATTAATCAAACTCAATTACTTACTGATTAAAATTTAACCTTTCAAAGAATTGGTTAGCAATTTGCATGTTGATAAAGCACATTGCTGCTTTTTTGCTTTTCAGGAGAAAGAAAAATGTTCTTAGCTTATAATGAAAGTAAAAACTTTATTAATTTATTATTTTTGGATCATTTCTTTTGGTATTAAAGTTTCTCACAATATAAAAAGCACCTGGTAAAAAAAAAAAATAAATAAAAAAAGATAGAAAATTAGATATACAAGGTTTCATCCTGACAATGGGCCTCATTCCCCGATGTTTTTTTCTTAAATTTGTTATAAAAGAAAATCTTCTTAAGACCAGTTGGTGAATAAAGCCTTTTCACAATATGTCAAATTATTCTACTCATCTCTCTTAAAGTAAGAAACACGGCCAAGTGGACACCCAGTATGCATTTTTTGCCACTTAGAAAAGCTATTCATGGTTTGTTGCTTTTCAGTTAGGTACATTTAAACTGTTTGGCCTTGACTTGATTACTCAATTAACCGTCAAAATAATCAGCAAGTTACCAATATTATCAATAGTGACAGCAACTGGCAACCCAAATCAACAACTCTAAATGCCATTCAAATAAATAGAGCTGTGCTTACACATCCTAACTTGAGCACACCTCCACCATTATTGAGCTGGATCTTAGACACATTGAGAGTCATCAAGGCTGTCAAATCCTGGCTCTCCCATAGTAGCGTTCCCTCAAAACCCTGCAAACACGGAAACATGGGTGCTTAAAATAATAGCTGGCATTTGGTCTCTGTTAAAGTGCCCATAACATGAAAAATAAATGTGTTCAATGTTTTATGTAAACACTGCTAAGTTTCAAAATTTACCCCTCAGTCCACACAGTCCAAATATGGAAAGTGAAAAAGTGTTTTGGACTGCTTTCAGAATGTCAAGAAAACCAACACATTTACATATATCTGCCTATTTAGTCTACAGCAGTTCAGCCCAACCCATTCAAACTATTATAGAGAGTATTTCTATCTTGACTGCTTTCTGAATGAGGCACAACACAGGGCAGCTAATCAATATACCAGTCTTAAAGGCACAGTGACAAAAACAGCCTGTTTAATTACGAGAAATAATGAGAGATTGGACAATGGTAAAATAAAAATGAATCATGAGTTTTTGGTACATAAATCCAAATACAACAAAATTATAGGATAAGTCTGTTTTAAAATGGAAGACTTGTCCTCAGATATCACCTGAGACTGGCTTTCAATCAATACAGGAAATCAATATATGAGGACAGGTTCCAGGTCCAACAGTAATGTTAAAATGTTAAAAATAAGACTGGGCTGTGATGTATCACCCCCTGTAAAAACATATTGAAAGAATGTTACAATATATTTAGTTTACATTTTAGAATATCTTAAAAACATATAACATAAGGGTGTCAAACTCATTTTTATTAACAGGCCACTTTCCACTCAGCCCAGTGTCAAGTGGGCTAGACCAAAAATAAATAAGTAAATTGATCAATTGATTAAATAATTTAAGTTTAGTAAATTTGTGTTTATTTTATTGTCATTTATCTGAAATGTAAATACTGAATGCACAAACTAAAAAAAAAAAAAATCACAGAACAGATTACACAATCTTCTACATTAGGTCTTTTGGCAAACCTCAAAGAATACAAATGGCTGCATACATACAAGTGCATTAAAGGGCCCATTTCATGGAAAACTGAATTTTACTCACTTTTTAAAAATAAAGTGTGATGTAGTATGTAAACGGGAAGAGGACATATGTCTATACTGACCCCACGCACAGTGAGGAGGACGGATTGATTGGACAAAGAATTTCCAAGGATCACAGATGGGGAACTGCAGAAATTATTTAGGTCTTAGGGTCAGAACGTCTCCCAAACTACAATCAAACACCATCTATATAATCACAAGTTGTTTGGGAGGGTTGCCAGAAGGAGGCATCCACTGTCAAGGACCAACAAAATAAAGCACCTACAGTCTGCCAAATGTAACTGGACCTTTCAGTGGTACTGTGTTCTATGGTCAGATGAGACCAAAACAGAGGTTTTTGGTAACCATGGTAGCTCATCCCTAATGTTAAGTATGGTGGTGGATCTGTGATACTGTGGGGCTGTTTTTCTTCCAAAAGCCCTGTACAATTTATTTGGATACATGGTATCCATGACTCCATTAAGTACCAGCAGAAATAAAATCAAAACCTGACCGCCTCAGCCAGGAAGCTTAAACTAGGCCATAGTGTGGATCTTCCAGCAGGACAATGATCCAAAGCACGCCTCAAAATCAACACAAAAATGGTTCACTGACAACAGAACTAAGGTTTTGCCATGGCCACCACAGTCTCCTGACCTAAAGCCCATAGAAAACCTGTCGGATAGCTGGAGGAGTGTCAAGGATCTGGAAAGATTCTGTATGTAAAAATAAAAATCTCCATATGTTCTCGAGTTTCATTATGCATAACAGGAGAAGACAGAGCTGTTATAATTGCAAAGGGAGGCTGCACAAAGTATTGAATGAAGAGGAGCCATTGTGGCACACTCAGATTTAAGAAAAATAATTATTTCCTGACGAGACTTATTTTCTTCTTCAATCATTATACTTCAAATTGAATAAAAGAATAAAATGATAAGCAATGTCTTTTACAGTTAAACTATGCTTTATGGTCAGAACAAGCCAAACACTTGCCAAACAATAGAACATTTCACAAATCTGTAATAGGATAGTGGAAGAAAGTTTCTGTTTAGCTGTGTTCACCCGCTGGAAAAGCATGGCCATATTTTTTGTAATAGTCATAATGTAAGAAAGAAAACAGATTATTTTTAGCTGTCTGGTGACGAGTGCTAGGCTAGCCAAGTGCTAAACTGTTTAGTAAACAGCAAACATTAGCTGACTCTGTATGTCAGTGATGAATCATACTGCCTTACTGCCATCATTCCTACCACATCCATGTCAGAGTATATTACAGTACTCAAACACCAGCTAGCAGACATCTGGGTTTCTCTATTCTGTCACAGTAGTTTGAGGGATGGAAGAATCGCAATAAATCTGACGCTTGCTGTGTAAAAGCATTACCTGCAGTGTGATTCTCTCACATCCGACAGAGTCTTCCTTTTAGGTACGTTTAAAATGAAATCGGTACTTTTTTGTCTTGTTTGATCTACTGTAACATCAATTCGCCGAGCTGTACAAGTGACAGAGCACTGCTTCAAGTAAGCCAGCTGCTAAAAACAGCTAGCCTGGGAAGAATCCTCAGTTTACTTTCGTACTAAAATATAACTGTCTGAGCGCTGTAACAGTACTGTAGTTGTAAGGATTTAAGGCCACAATAGCTTGTTAGGATGTTAGGAAAGAAGTGAGTCCACTCTAGGACAGCATAGCTACACCACTTATCACATCACTAGCACTTGGGCACAGGAGAACAGATCGCTGATCACTCCACTCAAACAGGGAATGTATAACTCCACGTTTCAGACGTTGCTAAAGTATATCTGGTGACTCATTTCACTTCTTGATCCCCTTCTTCTCCAATCATGTTGAAAAACTCAGAAGTGCGCCCTTTTGTGGTGGCAACAGAGTAGTGTTGCTTTCCTTGCAGTAGAAAATACCAGCTGTCGCTGGAACGTGGAAGTGTGAGAATGCTCTATTATATCGAATATTTATCGAACATTTCTTATGGTTCTATCGAGGAAAGTTATATGGCGATAATTATCATTATTGCTTTATCGCCCAGCCCAAATTAGTTTTAAATAGTGTATTCTGGAAAGGGTTATGGCTTGTTGTGTTATCTCATAACAAACCATCACTGCGCTGCTAAGTTGCCAAACAAAATGGTGGCTGCATGATTGCGTGATGTTTTCGGAATACTATGAACAATGTGGGTGTTTGGTTTTGGTGCATAAGTATCACACATTTAAAATTTCCCTGGACATCAACAGACATTTTACTGGCCAGAAAATAAAAAAAAAACATAAAAAATGAATAGAGAACTCAGTCTGTTACTAGTGGTGTTTTAAATGTTACATTGTCCCTTCTTGAAGCCCCACCTTAGGCAAAATGAACTGCTCTACAGCTTTATACCAGATCCCCTCCACATAGGTCCCTGGGCTCAGTGCAGTGAAAGAAGCAGTCACAACAGCTTCCTGCAGTGAAAGATACACACACACACACACACACACCCACACACACACACACACACACACACACACACAGAGTAGAATGAGCAGGTCCAAGCACTCATTAGCCCAATTAGGCCTAACAGGCAAATATGGTGAAAAGTACAGTGCACTAAACAAATTTAAGCCATAATACACAACAAGGAGCGAAATATCTGACATAATATGTTATTACAAAGTTATTCAGGTCAGCAAAAAAAAAAAAATTATTATTTACCTAGAGATGTCAGAGTATTTCTAGACCAATTTCAAAAAGTTTGGCTCAAAATCCAGAGACTAGTTTGAGAAGTATGTTTTTCAAACAGTTAATGATTAAAAAAATTGCAATTTTTTAATGATCTTTAAATTTTTTAATTTTTTTAATGAAATTGTTTGGCACACCGTAGCATATTAGATTATCATAGATATGTGACCAAAAATAATATGTACATGTAACATGTAATAATTGATTTTCATGAATAGTGCCCCCCCAGTGGCCAAATCTTTTGAAACTTCACTGGTGGCTACATAGAGTTTCATGATGATTGGTCAATGTTAAGCCTGTCAAAGGCCTGCTAAACGTTGATTAGCTAAATGGCGGTCATAAATTTCATTTAATTAAATTGGATTTTCCTACTGAATAAGCCTGTCAAGTTTCAAATTTTTTGGGCTAAGGATTCTCGAGTTATAGAATTTTAAATTATTTATGAATTATTTTGAATTACTCCAGAAGGATTAATTAGCATATGGCAGCCATTCATTTTATAAAACTTGATAAATATTAAGTTCCAGGCTCTTCTGAATTTTTTGACACCAGTTGCATGAAGATCGTCTGAAAACCATAGGACTAGTTTGCAAAAGTAGGTTTTGCATATTACGCACATCTGCGAAAAATCTAAGTAGGCGTTTGAAATTACAAAATTGTTTGTCTTGACCCAAAGAATGAAGAAAAAACGAAATTTCTCTCTAAAAAAGTCGGTTTAGGAGTTATGAGACAAAACGCATTTTGCTGCACTATAGTGTCCCCTTTAGAACGATTGGGCTTATGTTGTGTGCCTGAGTAGCGGAACGGACTACTACCTTCTGACTAAGTTACATGTCTCTAGGACTTACAGTTTGGTCTGGGCAATTCGTTTTAGGGAAGAAAAAGAATAATAAGAAACATAGCCACAAGCAGCGATTTGTGAGGTCTAAGCTTGCTTTGCAACTTCGCCCCACATTGCTATTTTGGCCACGACCCTCCTTGGGTACATGTCAGTGAAGATTCGTACATATATATGAACTTTAATTGTCACTGAAAAATTTTAAAGCTTTCAAATGCTGCCATGCATCTTAACATACTGCAGTAAATGGACCTTATCTTTCACATGTTCATAGTATGACAGAAATGTGTGTTTTTTTGTTTACTTATTGGAAATGGTCATTTTATAACGTGTTGAATTGGATGGACTCATGAGACAATCAGATGGGGTACAAATGACCTGATTTGGTAACTTTAGCTGCCAATTACTTTAAAATGCTGCTATAGTTGGACTTCATGTTTGATATGTTCATAGTATGAAAGACGTTAAATGAAAAGTTGCTGTTTTGGTGGTCTACTTATTGGTAACACTCATTTTATCAATACTTCAAATTGACTTATGAGTCACTTAGATGGGGTGCAAATACAACAACATAATGAACCGATCTGGCAACTTTGGCGGTAAATGATTTACATGCCGCAGTAGAATGACATCTTCGTTGGTTGTGCATAGTATGACAGACACTGAAGCAATATCTGATGTGTTTTTTGGGATACATATATGATCATATTTATATTTATAGTGTGATGAATTTGCATATAGGCTCACCATGTGGAATGATTGTTTTAGCGCCCCCTATTGCCCTATGCCTACTAAACTTTGCACCTTTTTTCAGTGTTAGACATTGAGCAGGTGTACCAAACAATGACAATGCTTTATTGTCATAGCACTACTGACATGAAAATATGTATAAATCACAATGTTCGCTTACCGGTAAAATTTACTCAAACATGTTTAAGCGCAAAGTGGTTTAGTCTGAAGACTTGAGTATTTTGTCAACATATGCGTTACTTTAATGTAAACTGAGCAAGAGATATGTTCATTTTACATAATTTCTATATGATTACATGCTGTAGCGCCCCCTGGAGGTCAGGTTAGACCACAATTGGCCTGCTTCCTCAGAGTGTTATTCTGTATGTCTGTGCCAATTTTGGTCTCAATCAGACAATGTACGTGTGAATGACAGATAACAGAGTTGTTAAAAACTCCACCCAGATGAATTCATTGACATGTTGCACACATGCTGCACTTATAGCAGTGACCGAGAAAGCTCCAGTCAGCAAGATCAGCCAAACAGTCATCTGTCCTGATTCTTCTTGACCTCTCAGCAGCTTTTGACGTGGTCAACCATACAATCCTTCTGGACGTCCTCACCAACCTTGGAATCACTGGCTCTGCGTGGAAGTGGTTCAAGTCCTATCTGGAGGGTCGCTATTATCAGGTAACATGGAGAGGGTCCACATCCTCTCCATGTAGGCTCTCCACTGGTGTCCCACAAGGCTCGCTGCAGGGTCCTCTTCTCTTTTCTCTTTACACTAGTTCTCTTGGTGAGGTAATATCCTCTCATGGCTTCGCTTATCACTTAGGGAGATTGAGATGATAAGATGTAAACTGTATGACTAGTTCAATATAGGTCAAATTCAAACAATGCGCATTTATAGAAAAATGGTGATATTTAGTAAATGACGTTGTCAAGTTCACTTTAGATTTAGCATTATTTGATACTAACTGCATGTTTATAATCTGTACGGTATAAAGGCTTTTACTCATTTTAGTGTTTTAAAACATGAGCAGCACCCACCAGTGGCCAATACCTGTCATACTTCAATGGGTAATAGAGAGTCCATACCTAGACATATCTATCAAGTTTTGTGGTGATTAGCTAATTTTAAGGCGGTCAAATAGCTGCTGAAATCTGATTGGACGATGGTGGCCAGATTATTTCGAATATGACATCAGTGTCATAGATCTTGATCCAGGACAGCACATTGCAGCACCATGCCAATTTTCATGTCAATCGGACAACCTTTGGTTCCGTAACACTCTTTCGCTTGTTATAGCGCCACCTAGCGATGCAGTTATACCGAACTCTGTCGATCATCTACGACTGCCATAATGTACACGCTTATGAAGTTTCGTAACAATCGGTCAAGGCGTTTCTGAGTTATAGGTGTATATGCATGATTTTTAAAATTTGAGCTCCACTCACATTTTCTGGTGGGGCCTGGACGATATACAGTGACGAAATAATTAAAGTTCAGCTTCTTAGGATTCCAGTGATAACAGATTTGTGCAGATTGTGCGAAAACTCAGGGACTAGTTCGCGCTCAAATATTTGTGTGATTTCGCATAATATGCAAATTCTCTTAAAATCTATAGAGATTTTTAATATGGGCAAAATAGCTGTTTTGTGGGCCGTGACATATCTAGTCAGGAGAAGAAAGAATTTTGTCTCTATTACATATGGTACAGAATCACCGGCCCTAAAGGTACGAAGCTTTGCTGTAGCGCCACCATCAGGCCGATTGGGCTGAGCTCAAGTGCCTGAGTAGTGGGAGGGACTACTACCTATAGACCAAGTTTCATGTCTGTACGACTTACGGTTTGGTCTGCATGATTCGTTTTAGTGAAGAAAAAGAAGAATAAGAAAAATCCTAACAATTACAATAGGCAAACCCAAAGGTGCTTTACATAGTCTCATCAAGAAGAATAAAGAGAAGAAAAAAGGAAGGTTTTTAGAACAGCAGATTCACTTACATCCTTGAAAGACATGTCCTTTACTAAGACTGACCACGATCTCTTTGAATATTCTTTCAAAGTGCATGTACGCGTTAGATTTATCCACTCTAGGAAGGGGACCGACCAACAACTGATGTTACAAAAAGTTCTTATGCAAGTTACATGCAATTACACATTTTCACCAAAGAGGTCTCCCTCATAGTGTAGCTTTAAGTGCTTCAATTAATATATTTTACTTAAAAGTGTAGAAGTTTCAAAGAAAAATGCTGTATCAGTATTGGCAGATACTTACTTTTAAAACATTGGTATTGACACACTAGAAATTAGCAAGTGGTATCATGTAACCTGCACTCAATTGTGATACATGTTGTGTATAATGAAAATAAGTATTACCGTTTAGTATTGAGTGTAATGTTATATTTTTTGCTGTATTTAATATTTTTATAAGCTTCAACTGCTATAATAACTTCATAGTATTCTTACCTCCTGGTCCACTTGGAATAACTTCACTGTGACATTGCCCCTGAAATGCTGCTGTGCTCCACCAGAGAAGACACCCAACTGTGTGATGACCACAGAGTGAAGGACCTTAAAGTCCAAACTAATGGCTGAGACATCAGACAGCACCAAAACAGAGGCATCAGGCACGCTTAGGATGGCCATGTCCTGTCTGGCAACTGAAAATGAAAGTTGGTTTCAGTCATTCAGTTCTGTACACTTGTAAAAAAAAAATGCCAAAGAGCCTTTTCGTTCCCTAAAGTATCTTTCAATGGATGGAATCTTTGTAGATGAGATGTGTGAGTGTGGAGAATCTTTTTCACACTCAAAACCCAGGACACTATCGGGGTACTTTGCGTCATTCACACTAGGGATGTTAATGATTAAATGCTTACCCGATGAAGACATAAACGTTATTACATTGCTCTAAATTAAATGCGTGCCCAAACAATATTTGAATAGGTGGATTTTTCATTCAACTTGAGGACCGTTTATGAATTGCACATGAGGACACAGGACTGCCACTTGTTTTCTGGTAGCCCTACTCAGTGATGCACACATCCAAGTTTTCTGTTGACTCCACTGAATTTTTACCAATAGAGCCAAAGCAGCAAAGAAGGATATAACAGAGGTAAAACCATCTTAAATGTAGTTTACATAATTTTAAGTAGCTACAGACCGAAGTGATACGATGAAAATTCATGCTTTTCTACTCTGTCAATGACCAAGAATCAACATCCAGACATTAGCCGGAGTTCAAGACTGTTCCATGCTCATGTAGATATGTTAGGGTTTTTCAACAAATCTGACTAGAATACTTAGCCGCATGACATAGTGCTAAAGTAGGCTAAAACTGTCCTGCCATTTCTTGCCAACAAGATCATGTGAGGATGTCACTCCAGCAAGATGGCTGAAAATGCTGCCTAATTTAAGGTAAGGATCACTATAGCCATCATGTAAAACTAGCACTAGCTAGTCAGAGAAACTCAAGTAAACAACTCTGTGTTTTTTATAATAAAAAAGTAAGACGAGTAAAGACGAGGCACAGAGAGGTAAATTCACGGGACCCTCTCTTAAAAGTTCACACTTTCTGCATGCACAAATTTGTAAGGATGGAATGAGAATAAAAAAGGGAAAAAAACTCTCATAAACCCAAGGTATGAAAAAAAATAAATAAATAATGCTAATTAATTTGGCACTAAGACTGTGTGCTGCAGCTCAAATCACAAGTTTAAATAAATAACACAGCAGCTTGACGCGCGAGCAAACACAGGGATAAGCAGTTGCATCGTGGCTTCATCTTTTTAAAAATATAATAACTAGAAAATGCAGTTTAGGTTGTGGTTGTAGTTTATTTTTTTCATTTCACCATGAAACTGCAGCTGCACTGATGCATCTATTTGCAATTTTGTTGTGCAAGGGAAGCTACAATGCTCTCATAATGCACACCCAAATCAAAATGAGCGCTTGAATCTAACCACATCGAAACCCATCAAACAGTTTCCTGTTAGCCCACTTGTCTACAGGACAAATAAAATGGCCTGTATCTACATTTATTTTGTTTGTGCATGAATGAAAGAGAATGTGTGTACAATTATAAAGAAAATATATGCATGATCAAAAGAAAACAAGAGAACAAATTGTTAATCATTCCCTCAAAATATTTATTATTTGCCCCTGGCCCCGCTAAGGCTCCGTACAGAGCAGCTCACCAAAAGGGAAGAAAATGCTAAAGCAATCACTCCCTCTCGGGGTCTTTTGACATTTTAATGCAGAGGGGAAAAGTGGTTATTTGTGCATTTGTATCTCTCTTCTATTTTAACCCCTTATAAGGCCAGGCCCAACGTTTTATTACAGACTTCTATAACCTAGGAATAGCTTAGCAAATTTGCACTGAAGTGCCTGTGGTAAGTGAATAATGAGCCTTAGTATGTAATAAGCCTGGGATTTTAAGGGGTTAACAACATGATTTCTTAGCGCTGTTATTCTTAATATATGAAAAAAATAACAACACTGGGCATTATGTAAGCAAACACATGCATCCAAATATATTTGCAAGTCACCTCATCATTATTCTGATGAAACAAAAATCACAGGGCATCAACAATGAAGGTAACATGATGCTTCTTTTATACAGTGATAGAATACACAGTAACACACACAACGCATGTGTGTCAGTTACTAAAACAAAGTTTATTATTCGGTTAACGGGGACAAAGCTAGAGTCTCTGAATATATCCTTTACAACATGTAAAGTATGACATGGCTGAACTGACATCTGTAAATGCAGATACTACATCACTAATGTCGTTTTTTGCGCCTTCCTATAATGTGGTGTGGTTTACCTGGCTCTGTAAGGTTTAGCGGGGTACAGGAATACGGGTCCTCACGATCTTCTTCAGGTATTGCACAGCCATGCTGGCCAATGATAAATTTCACCAGCACCCTTTGAGCCAAAATAAAACCCTAAGTCAAACAAAAAAAACTCACTAAAGCTCATAAGAATATAAACAGAATATAGGGAGTTAATAAAGATGTTCTTAAAATAACATCAGAAAGAGCCCAGACCAAATTTTTACCCACCATTTACCAACTGCCCTATACAATCCTTAAAATATCTCATATGTCAGACTGAATCATCCTTATCCACTGTTGAACAGATATGTTAATTTGAAATCTCTGTGTCATGTCTTATCGCCACTCCCAAATGTCTTTGAGTCAACAGCATGTCTTACATGTTTTCATTCAGTGTACCACTGCATGCATGCTGTGCAATATCTTGAAAAATATCTGTCAATGACTGAAGGAGGTAGCCATGAGGGGATAACTGTGTGAGCAGAAGTTTACATGACCAGGATTTTGATTGTTAAAATAATGTCTTATTTTCTCAGGATTTTTACTGATTATGTGGAAATAATGTCTTACTTTCTTGAAATTACGTCTGATCGTGCCAAAATAACGTTTGTTTTTTTCTACTTTCACAAAACCAAAAACTGCTGAAAGATTTAGGGAAAAATATGCAACTGCAATTTTTCTAATCAATAACATGACTGCAATTTTAACCGCAATTATTTTCTATAAACTAAGGCCCAGGCATGTTATTTTGGCCAAGAAGACCAGGATATCCACTTTTTCTAGTTTGAACCTTAAAACACTGGACATACAGATGTGGACTGTGGTTAACTGTGGAAAAAAGAAAAAAGACAATATTGTTGACACTTTTTTGGGTGGTCCACCATCAATGCTGCTAACTTATTCCACTGTTTTCACTACATATATTTTGCAGTGCCGGCCTCTGCTGCTTTAGAATTTTATGAATTGTCATAAAGTTGCAATAACATAACTCTGTACAAGGTTTCTATTTGAAACACCACATACAGGAAGTGGACGAACATTATGCAATCAGAGCAGAAAAGAGCAGAAGTATCGAATGTAATGGTTGTCAGTAGAGTGGATTTTTCTGGCTAACTTGGCACACAACATGAAGAGGTTAGGTTGACCTTATTTTGCAGTGTTAATAAGTTTAGTTTTATATTTTGTGGACTTCTGCAGACAGTGGTGGTCTGAAATATGAGTAAAGTGGGAAAAGGCACTGTTTATTTGTTTTACTCTATGCAAACCTGGCTACTTCCTCATTAAAATGTGTTAACGCTAGCCAGCTAGCCAATACGGGTGGGGGTACTGTTAAGCATTTCTTGTTCCAGTATATCTTGTTTGTTTACAGTGAGAAAATGTACTAAATGAAACACGTCTGAAGGCCTGAGCCTGATCTTCAGTGGCTTTACCGAAAAGAAAATAAGCCGGGGGGTTTGGGGTGGGGAGCGTCTGAAGAGGGGGGCTGCCACCGCTGCAGGAAAAAATCCTGGAGGAAACACTGTATTCTCAGGGCTGTTCATCAGGATCTAGTGACATCTGGTCACCAAGTAGCTTAGATTTAGACTCAGAAGACATACAGACCGATTCTGGAACTTAGGGTGGTCCCTGAGATACCCCAGCCATGTGTCCCTTATGGCTTCACGCAGATCATGGTGATGCCTGGCAGACAGCACTCCCACCAGAACTTCATGCACTGGGTTATGGCTGCCTGTCAGTTAAAACAAACACTAAATGTTGTAATCCCTCTTGCAGTTCTTCGCCAGGGTCAACAGCTCATTCAAGGAAATACAACTGTACAAGTTTGGGATGTCACAAAGCCAACAGCATCACATGCACGGTTTCAATTTGATGACTGGGGCAACTAAAATGTCTTAATAATGACTACACTATGTTTGCATCAGTGGCTATGTTTACATGCAAAGATTTTTGCCAATCCGATTGAATACAATCCGATTACAGATTCAGACTGAGGTGTTTATATGCACACTCTATTCAACGATTTGATGGAAAATCTTCGTTTACATGCTCACTACAAGTAATCCGATGCAAAATGACGCGCATGCGTGGAGTAGCGTTTAGAGTAAACGTTACCATGACAACGAACATCACGTGAGGTCCAGTCCGCGTGATATGAGTTTCCAGTTGGCGCGCTTGTGTTTTAATTGCTTTAAAATGATGTCAGACGTGCTTCACATGTGCTTATAAAGGAAGCGGCGAGAGGAAGACGTCGTGTTCTGAGACTCATAAGCTGGTCGTCCGTCCCACCGCCGTTTTTTAAAGCTCAGAGCATAAACTTCGTCTCCCCTGCAGACCCGTTTCTGCTCCGCCATGCTGAACGGTATAAACTTTCGCCATGACGCGACGCACATGCGCAGAACATACTTACACGTTCCGATTGGAATGTAATCGGATTCAGGCGTTTACATGGCTATTATTCTTCTATTTAACGGATTATTTAGAAGTTTACCCACCTCGTTCAATCAGATAGAAATTGTATTCCGAATGGCCTCAATCGGACTAGTCTATTCCGATTGAGGTGTTTACATGGACGTGTTCTATTCCGATTGAGCTATTAGTCGGATTATTAACGGATTATCAGGCTGCATGTAAACGTGGCTAGTGTGAGTGAGTTCTTACACTGCTATTAAGACATTCGGGTTTATCTGGCTAGACCTGAAATCCGGCATGGAGTCTTGATCGCAGCTGCCTGAATGAAATCGCGTTCAGTAGCATACAGTCACTCACAGAGTGTCCATATATGGTCTTACGTTGTCTAAATAATGGAAATACGCATGTTCCAAAGGAGTTTCTCATCCATCCTTCTCAAATGCTTCAAGAAGATCTTTATGCTGAAACTCGATCTATCAGCTATAAACATGTTCACAAACAGTGCTCCCACCACTGTTAAAACATCGAAGTGGCACTTTTTTATCGATGGACTAGCGTGATGCAAACATTCTCAATTTCAACCTTAAAGCAACGTCGAGAGGGAAATGTTCATAGAACGTGTATTTTCAGTACAGACACATACGTGAACAAGGGTATGACTGTTCCGCACTCTGTGTATATTTCTATGTATATTATCAGTCATGAGACTAAAGAAACATGACGGACACGTGCACGCAAGCGTATAACTAAAGTTAAGTTCGAAACTACGAGCTCTGGGATACATACCTGCACTCTTCAAATCCGAGAAGAAAGCTGTTTTGTCCGTCACCCACCACAAATGCACCACGGCCGCGATGACACAAGGGAGTAACAACAATGATAAATTTCGCATGGACGGACGACTTGACAGTCTCGCACTCAATGAGGAAAGTTCATAGCTCCATCGACTAGAAGCATGTCCGACATCGCTGATCGTTGAGATTCGAGTACAGTGCGGTTCATTTCATGTGGGCACCGTGTCTCATTTCAGGGGCTGCGTCCTTCGGAGAATGCATTTGAAGGCCGATTGCGTCACAGCGGCGCGACTAGACTGTCCCATTTCGAAGTCTCCTTTAAATGCAGCCAAAAAATGTGTGCTTCTTTTCCATGGCAACATATCCCGAGGTTCATTGCGTGCCGGCGAGGATTCGAGAACATGGCGGCATCAACAGACATGCGAAGGGCGGCTGAAGAGCACACTTTTAAATATAATACATAAATAAATATATACATATAAGTATTGGGTTTAAACTGAGGCGAACAGCTAACGATACAAATGTAAAAAACCTCATCAGTAGCCGCCGTTGCATCTCCAGCTCTAATAAATGAAAAAATAAACAATTAAAATAAAAGTTTTTGGCTCCATCTTTAAAGAACTTTAAAATAACTTGACAGGAGCGGCGTTTCCTGGCGCAACGGTAAGGGCGGCAACATCGGTGCTGTGAGGCAAAGAGAAAATCTGACGTAGAGCAGACCGTCTCGTTTCGGTTCAGCCTTCGCGGATCTAAGCAGCCTTCGAAGGACACGTCTTTGTAGACCGCATCCTCCGAAGGATCCAGCCCCTGATTTGGGACACACTGTTCGTATCTGGCTGCCGCTGCGCACTGAGCCGAAAACGGCCGCCATTAACCAATCGGAAAGCCGGAGCCGACACTCACCGCTTTCTGGGATATGTAGTACCGAGATGTCAAGCGGAGCAGGAACGGTTTAAGGTAATGTGAGGCCGTCGTCGCTTTATATCAAATTTACAAAACAAAAAAATGCAAAAAAATTTACAACTATAATTATGTTTATCCCAAACAAGATTTAACCCATAAGGTATATGTCACTGTGGCCCCCAGGCTTCATAGCGAAAATTGAATAGAGTCCAAGACTACCATCTAGGAATACACAAAAACATTATTCATATAGTGACAGTTAGCCACCCTGACGGTCCACAGACCAAGCGAACAAAGAAATGTGTATTATCATTAGATATCACAAGGTGTCCCACACACCACAAAAATACCTTAGATTTGATGTGAAATGCACTATTCTAGATAAACTTAATTATCTACATTAAAGACTAGTAAAATCCTGCATGTTTTGTTCTGTTAAAACTCTGAAAATTAATGTTCCATAATAGTTTCTTATGAATGCTTTTTACCCAAATTTAACAGACCTTAATTGTCTGTGGCATCTGTACTTAGATGTGAAAATGAGTCACTGGTTTACATGAACATGAACTTCTGAATTCAGACAATTATGAAATCACTTTATTAATTTGTACAATTCCACAAACCTACACATCCAAACTGCTAAAAGAGAAAAAAGTGCAGAAAAGCACCAACAAATCCATACATATAAGAGGCATTATTTAAATAACAAGGTATCTAAAAAAATCTAATATATATAGGATAATAGATCCATGCAAGTAACTATTTTTAAAATAATGAACATTGTCTTTTAATACTCATATTAGAAATAAGATGAGATTTCTCCATCAAATTTTGCAAGTTGCTCACAGGTCTGTATGGTGGAAAATCCACCGTCATAAGTTGTAACAAACCCTAATGTCATAAAACTTTATGGCAATGTATTTACACATACGGCATCAAGGATATATTACAGTACCTGTGAGAAGTTTCTAGCTTAGAAAGTTGCTTAATGAAGTCTGTCCTTACCTTTTCTATGATTGATCTTAGTTAAACTTAATGGTACTTTCATCTCCTTTCACTGGATATCCAGCTGCCAGGAAATTGTTGCAAATACTTGAAATCATACGTTCAAAAAAGTGATGTCTTACAATGACCAGAGTACACTATAAAGGGGTATAATACAAGCAGAAGCACCACCTTAAGCAATTTAAGGTGCTGTGCATTAAATAGAATAACACCTCTGTATAAATCAGCAAAGGCTAGACTAAATTTACACTTGACATTGTGCTTTTTTTTTAATAGAAGAAAAAGCTCATGAAATAACAGTGTAGAGGACACGCCTTAGTCACAGTACTTGGAACTCTTGATTCTATCCATTCTATTTCATACAGTCCCTTGGAAAGAAGAGACAAGACAACAGGTGAACATGCAGGCCCTCAGTTTAGCATTTCAGTCAAAGATCCAAACTGTTCACATTAGAACAGGCAAGACGATACAAAAACGATCATGGAACACACCCCATTTGTAAATAAGGCCATTAAGCAATTGTAGAATGTTATCCACAGCATTAATGTGACTTCTAAAAATAATTTAGTTCTTGCACTTGCAATAGTTCTGTGGAGATGAGCTTAAAAAAAGGTGAAAAACAGTGAGAGAAGGCCAAGTAAACATATTTTAGCATTTTTTAGTAGTGGTAGTAAAAATGAGTGTCCTTTCAGATTTATCAACATGGTTAATGTGCACTGATGCAATCTAAAGTGTGTTTTCAATTGAACTGGGTGATCTAGTTAGTCCTAGAGCTCACATGTATTTTGCATGCCCCCCTCCCTTCATCTGTGTGCCAGATGGGGCATCAGCTTGTTCAGTGTCAAATTACATCTATATGATTGTATCCTCCCCCCGCTAAAAGATAACAAACACAGGGATGTTCAAAGAATGCTGTGCTATTTTCAAATTTAGACCATACCCTGTCAGTGATCTGAAAATAAAATCACTTGTATTCTGCTGATGCTACTTTCATGTAATGATTTTAATGTACTGCACTTATTCATTTCAACCTTGTGCTATCTGAGAGAACATTTTTTTCTGCGGTGCAGGAAATGGGTACTAAACATAGCTTGAATCGAAGTCACTTAAAATTCACCTTAAAATGACCAATTTGAGTTCTAAGTGTACTTGATAATAGAATGGATGAGACCAAGAAACTGCAATATTAAATAAATAAATAAATAAATAATAATAAAAAAAAAAAAACATTTTAAACCACCAACCACATCCCATCCACCAAGCAATGGGTATTTGCTTGTCCTGTTATACAAGTCGAGCACAAGGTTTTTTCTGTTTTTTTTGTTTCTCTAATTACAAAGCAATAACAAATCTATTCAACAAGATATGAGGAGCTCTGACGGGTTTGTCAGCTGAGTGGCTTTCACCTCCCCAAACCCACACTGAATCCCCCATCCCCCCAACCCTCCACCCTCTAAAAATAACCCCCTCATATTTCAGGCCACCAGAAGGGAGCTGACTCAACAACAGATGTGGCTGCCCTCAAAATCCAAACCCTGCTGGCAGCCAGGGGTGCGGTCTCCTCTGGACAGAGGCTGTGTCCAGGGCTTGTCTCAGAGGATAGTGCAGAAAAACTTCTTCTCCCGGAATGGATTCTCTGAGGCAGGCACTGGGACGATCAGTGGGTCCTCTCGTATATGGGCATCGCAGTAGGCCATCAGATCTGCTGCTGCTTTGGACACCTGCCACAACAGCAGGAGAAGGCTGGTAAGTTTAAGCGTGTCATGATTAGGGCTCTCACAGTCTATTATATTAGTAATGGAGTAACTTACTGATTATCTTGATGATTCATCTGAGTAAGTGAACAATACCAAACTATACAGAGCCTTTCAGAGATTTCACAATAACTTCACTGATAAATAATAAACTAATAAACCTTTCATATAATTATGAACATACAAGGGCCAAGAGCATGTCATTATGTAACAGTGTTTTATTGAAATTTATGCTGATACCTTTACACAGATAAATCCCTTGTACTCGGTCTCTGATTAAAGCAGGAACCTTCACTATTTTGTATTTTCTGTTTATCTGTTTTATCCCCTACTAGGAATGCAAAGAAATTTCAGCAGCCAAAGCATTTCACCCAAAAATGTTCAAAATGGCACTTGAAAAGGACAATTGTTTTGTCCCAAAAACCCTAAAGATTAAACAGGACTACATTATCAAAATGTAACACTTAACAAAACATTTGAATGATAATGAAAACAGGAAACAGTGATTAAAAACGCTCTTCTACATCAGGCAACACATGTTCAATCTGCTGCTCAGTTTATCTTCTGCTCAGTTTGAGAAGAAGCAGATAATAAGCGGAAAAAATAGGCCATGTAGAACTATTTCATGGTTTTATGAGGAGCCATAGACAAGAGATTTGTGTGTTCCGACTGAGCATCAAAAGAGACTGCAATGCTGAAAAACAGTTCTGATATCGCTTGAAAACACAATATTCTGCTCGATACAGCAGAACAGAGTTTTTAAATGACAAAATGCAAAAATACAAAGTATAACTGAAATAAAAAAATAATGTAATTTATTACCTTGAATGACCAACCATTCTCTGTTGTTGAGGACATTAGATTTCATACTGTGTACTTCGGCACGTTATGTATCCTGCAAACTGATATTTTTAGTAAGTTTTTTTATGTAAACTGTTTTTTTTTTTCCAGCTCAGCTTTGTCCTACTGAAAGCAAATTTTATCAATATTAAAACTATAATTTCCTGTTGTTTATGTTGCTGTTCAGTTAAGTTAGTGTTATATGTGTTATTCTGTGTGTGTGTGTGGGGTCAATGGTAGCGTAAAGTGTGTGGTTAGTAGTGACCCACAGGTTTGCTGTGCAGGAGGAGCTGCTGCTGGAGTATTTCCTGAATGCACTGCGTCTGAAGAAGGTGAAGTGGCAGGTGCAGCTTGCCAAACCGGCTGGTCTTCAAGTGGCCATTGCTGAGGTGATGACGACGGAGACTGACCTCAGCAAGGAGACAGCAAGTAGCTTTTCAGTTTCTCTGCTATGTCCAGGCGCACTCCTGCATGCTGAGAGAGGCACATCAGCTGGCTGGGAGACAACCACCCAACGCAGGTCAGTCACCGGCAGCCAAATGGACCCGAAAGGGAGAGCGCGGCTCTGGGCCTCCTTGGGGGTCTGAGCCAAGTACACAAGTTTCGGCTTGCACCCATACAGGAGGCATGTATTCTTGGGTTGGTTTTCCTGGCAACAGGCAGGAGTGTGCTCGACCTCAGGAAGAAAACACTGGGCTTGACGATGGGACAAGTGAAGCTGCTCACTGTGGCTAAAGGTATGGCTGAGGCAGCGAGTAGGGGCAGTGCCAGTCTCCTCTCTACAAGTTTTCTGGCAGCGCCCATTAGCAACAGCCCCACCAACACTGTCGGCACAGCAAACAAAAAGGAAGCGAAAGGCGGCAGACAGGAGCGCTGCTGTCATTGTCCCCGGTACCAGCGGACCTGACGAAGTGGGGAGTGGGTAGTGCTTTTTTGTGCTTTCTGATGGTTTCCACTAAACTTACACCTGCTGAGGAGAAGGTGTAAATATTTAGTAACTACTAAGTTTAAGGTTAAAACTAGTTTTGCGTGGTGCAACTCGTTTGGATTTAGTAATGCTTAAACCTGAACTTCGTAAACACTTGCGTTACAGAGCTCGATTTGATGAACTGTAAAACTACAAACAATAAAATCATATGTAAAAAATAATGTATTATTTTTATCATTATCATTATCATAATACATAGATTAACTAAAAATACAACTTAACATCCATGGTAAAATTAATCCAGCATGTGTTCTGTTTAATAGTTACCCTGCGCTGGGCTACCAAATGGGTTGCTTTCAGCCCAGCTTTCTTAGAGTATACTTTGCACTGAGATATTCTGCTACAGGGTCATTTCAAAACCTGGTGGGTGACTCTATTCAAATGCACAAGTCAACTGCATACAGAGCAATAAGAGCAGTTGCACTGTCATCATGCAGGCACATCAACACTTACATGAAGTTGGACAGTTGAACGCGCTCGGAGGAAAGCGCCAACCGCCAGATCTGTTACGTCAGCTAACAGACGCCTGCACTGACTAGCATCGCGTTGTGATGGGGGGAGAAGGAGGGGCCATCCTACCCACCCAGAGAGAGCAGGCCAATGGTGCTCTCTTGGACTCCCGGCTACGGATAGCTGTAGCATCACCAGGGATCGAACTCGCGATCTCCTGATAATAGGGCCAACACTTAGACGGCTGCGCCACTCGGGAGCTATGACACCAAGTTTAAAGCAAAGCATTTATATGTTAATATACGTAATACAGTATCTGTATTAATATAATAAATAAATTAATGTATGTAGTTATTATAAGAAAGAATGAGAGAAGAAAAGACACTTAAGTCTGGGTATATTACTATATTCTAATATGTACTATAACAATAGTAACTGTAGAAGGTCATGCAAGTACTCATTTGTAGCACTCTCATTCCATCTGGCGGAGGAATATCTACCTCTGTTGCGGCGAGGTGCTGGAGCCTATCCCAGCTGTCATTGGGCGGAAGGCAGGATGTCAAAAACAATATTTCTTATTAAAAAAAATCAGATTCAAATGTAATAAAACAGGAAAGAAAAACAGAGCTCTAGAGAAAAAATAGGTGAAAAGCAAAAAAACTTCATACATATAAATGTTACACAAATAAAGCACAGTAACTGAAAAGGCAGTTTAAAAGCAAAGTGCATATTTTAGATTGAATATTTTAGATGAAGTTTCAAACTTTAAAACATCTAAAACATAGATAAAAAGATTTATAAAACATTAAGCAATTTAAACTGTATTAACTGCAGAAAAGTGTTGGGGTAGAAAATGATAAGATAATATGGATAACAAAACTGTGCTCACGTTGCAAGCACTGTAATGATAAAAATAATGTATGGTGATGGAATATTCATTTCATCAATGACAGGCTTAACAATGGAACCAGACAGGGCAGAAGTTGTAGCTGGTGCCTGCATCATGCTACATAACATGGCAATGGCATGGAAAGTACCTGTATTAGAGGTAGAATGTGATGATGATGGGGTGACTTAGAAATTCCCTCTGGCAATACAGCCAACCTACCTGATGAGACTGCCACTGTCTGTGCATACCTTGTGCATCCTATTTTGGATGAACAGAACAATAAAATGTCTACATATATATAAATACACACACACACACACACACACACACACACACACACACACACACACACTTCAGCTGGAGCTTAGAGGGTTGGTGTGACAAGGTCTAAGATCACCACACATGCTTCACAGGTAAGGTAAAAATTATCCATCTTGCATAATACCAATAAAATAAAATAAAATTCCAGTCCATATTCAACAACTTCACCACAAACAAAGGAAAACAACAAATATGAGAGGATATTACAGAGGCTATAAATGTAAAAGGAGTGGAGCACAGAAATGTGAACGATGCCCTGTCACTTGTTGGCATTTCAGCAGGTGATGTTGGGAGTGGCTTGATGGAGCAGGCCCCATCACCTTCTTTGACTCTATCTCTAGCATCTCACTCAGTTCCAACTCCAGCCAGATTATATTACATATATGTTCTTAAATAAAAGGTTCTTTTGTCTTTAACAATCCTGTTTCCTAAAAAAGTTGGGACGCTGTGATGTCCTAATCATTTAAACTCTTTGTTTAATTAAAAATAGTATAAAGACAACCTATCAAATGTTGAAACATTTTTGAAAAATATATGCTCATTTTGAATTTAACGCCAGCAATGTTTTAAAAAGTGAGAAGTAAAGATGCAAACGGGTTCAACACTCTGTGAAAGACTTTCCAGGCAAATAATGGTTCTTAATGTAAAACAGCAAAAAACTTGGAGATTTCATCACATACAGTACATAATATCATTATCAAAAGATTCAGAGAATCTGGATGAATTTCTTTATGCAAGGGACAAGGCCAAAAACCAATACTGTCTGGCAGTGATCTTCAGGCCCTCAGGTGGCACTGCATTAAAAATGATTCTGTAGTGGAAATCACTGCATGGGCTCAGGAACACTTACGAAAACCAGTGTCTATGAACACAGTCCGTTGCTGCATCCACAAATGCAAAAACTCTACCTAGCAAAGAAGAAACCATATATAAACAGAACCCAAAAATGCATTCTCTGAGCCCCAGCTCATTTAAGATAGACTGAGGCAAAATAGTAAAGTGTCCTGTGGCCTTAAAAATCAAAATTTGAAATTCTTTTTGCAAATCATGTGTGCTGTGTCCTCCGGGCTAAAGAGGAGAGGAAGCATCCAGCATGTTATCAGCACACAGTTCAAAAGCCAACATCCGTGATGGTATAAGGGTGCATTAGTGCACATGGCATAGGTGATTTTCACATCTACAACACTAGATTATTCACTTCAGGGATTTTATTTTGAAATCAGCAAGGCTTTTAACTGTTGGAGCAATTCATTGAGGAGAGAAAGGGGGGATTATTAAATGTAAAAGTATTCTTTCTGTCTGTAAAATTCTTAGTTTTATTTATTTTATTGTTTCTTTTATCTACTGCAAATTATTTAGCTTGAGAAATGTATAAAAGAGTAGTCTGATTTACTAGAGCAAGTTCTATATGGGCAGAGTTTTAGCAGCCTTTACTTGAGTGGAGTACAAAGTAAGCTGTAGCCCCAGTATTCATCCTCT